CCGTCGTCACCGCTCATACTCGGGGAGAGGTCGTGCGCCTTTGCTGGCTCGGCCATTGGGCTGAACAGGAAAAGCTTGGCGCACACGAAAGAGTGCGAGAGCTCAGAAAATCCCTCGCAGAGTCCCCTACCTGGCGCGCCAGATGACGGAGCGTGGGGCTCCTCACCGGGGGACCGCGCAGGCCCCCCTTTGCCGGTTCGGCCGGGGACTCAGGGTGAGATTCTAAGCTCTCTGTATGTAGAAGGTTCGCGAGACAGGAAACACACAAGACACGGGCGATGTATACAGGTTCGGGCCGCTGAGAAGCGTAATACCCTACTCCTGTGTTTTGGGAGATCTGTGTATGAAGGAGCTACAAAGTATGAGCCAGCCTCTCCCTTCTTCTGGGTTTCCAATCTGGAAAAGTCCCGTCCCTCCGTGGGCAAGGTCCTCCTTTTATATCTTAAGGGGATACCACATGCACCATTTCTCTCTCTCACTTCACTTCTCTTCATTAATGGACGGAAATTTGTATGGTTGCCGTCCGAATGACCTTCTGATGGGACGGCCCATACCTACCTCCACTTCCGCTGGAAGCAGGCGCGACGTGGGAACATGGCTGTCTGCTGACGACATGACCATTGTCAGACCGGTCACAAATCGGTCATTCTTTGTCACATCCTGATTTTCGTTTCAGGATTTATAAATTATTTAATAAATTAATAATAGAATTTATATGAAATGTTCATTAATTTACAAGTGAAGTTAAATGTGGGAAATAAAATTTCCTAAATATAAAGCATGGATGGATTTAATTTTTTATTAAATTCTCCATGGTTAGTTATACTCTCTGGAATATTCTCGGATTTTTCGGAGCTCAATTCCTAATTTTAATCATACAAAGAGCATTTCAGTAATTACCCACATATTAAATTAATCATTAAATGGTCTAATTGTAATTTTGTTAAGTACTTTGAGCGTCCAAGTATTTTCAGGATTTTTCTTGAAATTATTTGAGCATTGGAAGTATTTTTAATAATTCAAAGATCATTTAAGTGATTATTTTAATTGGGAAAGTAATAATAATCCTCCTCCTCAGCTTGGGCCATTTTCAGCCCATTCCTTCCTTTCCTTCCTCTCTCTTCCGCCGGCCCAACCTGAGCCGCCTCCTCTCCTCTCAGCCTAGCCGGAAAAGTCTATTTTCCCTCCCTGATCTACTGTTCATCTTCCAGCTCAGGCAGAGCCCGAGCCAGCCGTGCCGTGCACAGTGCCGCCGCCTCCTCCTTCCAAATCTCGCCTCCCCGTTGCTCCTTTTTCCAATTTAGTTGAGGGGAAATATTCCTCTTATCCTCCTCTATCTTTACCCCCAAAAAATCGGAGCAAATCGTTGAGTATCTTATCCGAATCGAACTCGTTTTCGAGTTTATCTCCAAAACCGAGTTTTTGATTTCCCGGATCGATTTCTTGCGGGAGGAGTCCGATCTCTTCAATCCAAGGCTATAAATAGGACCCCCTAGTCCTCCTCTTTCGTTTGCCCCCTCTCCCGTCCTCTTCCGTGCTCCGTAGCTCCGTCGCCACCGCCGCCAAGCAAACCGCCGCCGCCGGCCATCTCCGGTGCCGCCGCGCCGCCGTCTCCATCGTCGTCGCCGGTCGCCGTCACCACCGTTGGGTGCGCCGTGGTGAGGGGAAGCTCGGCCACCCTTCCTTTTCCGTCGCCGGTCATCGGAGCTCCGCCGCCCCGTGCAACCCGAGCCGCCGCCGTCGCCTCCTCGTCGCCGGCCGTCGTCGGTCATCGTTTGGCACGAGGGTGAGTATCGTTGGGTTCGTCTCGTCGTCCTCTACGTGTTCATGTCCTCCAAATCCGCAGCCGGTCGCTCTATCTCCGGCGAGGTCGCCATCTTGGTCCGGCCATTGATGATGTCATCATGACGTCATCATCTTCTCCTTTTCCAGTTTTTTCTAATAGATTAAATCTTCGGAAATTCATAACTAAATCATCATAACTCGGTTTTGAGTGGTTCAAGTTGCTAAATTCATCTAAAATCATGATCTACATGTTTGTTTACTTTATATGTACTGTTTATTTGGTTTTTATTAGTCTTTTTCTTTGTTTTGCGTGTTAGCTTGTCGTTTCCGTCGTTGCGAAGGTTCGTGAGTGCGTCAGGAGTGTTCAGAAGATTAATTGAAGACCGATTATTGCAAGGCAAGTCACACAGATCCTAAACACAATCCTTTGAGCATGTTGATCCTATATTTAAATTCTCTATTTATTTCAACTGTGCATTTATTTTCGAATGTCACCGGGTGGTGTGAACTTATTCCTTTGTTATGGCCAATTTGCATTGATTACTTTATTCCTTGATACCTTGGGTTATTATAACTTGACTAGTTGGGCTTTATATATTGGTTCAGCTAGATATTAGTTATGATTGCTTAGCCATGCTTAGAAACATTAGCACACTATTGGGATAACTTATGACTCACTATTATTTAATGATGGCTTAATGATAGTTCACGATGGTTAATCGTGATTGGTTAATTAATTACTTGCCAACTAAAACTTGATAATGGTGGGTTGTGAGCACATGGTTTTGAGAGTCGTGCTCATGACAATTAAGGACCGGTTCGCGAGCTACTGTTGTGAAACATTTATCGTGCCAACCACAAGCCAGCGTGGGCAACGGCTTTATCTTTTGTGTAGCGTGATTCATTATAGTGCGCCAGACTGAGAAGTGGCGAGAAGTCCACGGGGGTCGCTGGGGAGTCCATGCCTTGTTTATAAGGGGGTGATTATGATCCAGGAAAGGTGCGCTGTAATGGGTTATGTTGTGCAAGGGGTATTGTCACAACTCCTTTCCGAGGTACCGTGGTGGTATTGAGGCACATGGTGACATGATGTGGGGTTGTGTCTTGTGGGTACAGTGGTACACCTCTGGCCAGAGTAAAACTATTCGAATAGCCGTGCCCGCGGTTATGGGCGGGTTGAGCAATGTTTTTCGTGATTAGTCTCACACCTCTCACAATAATTATGGATGTTATACCTGGTAATAATTTGCTTAGCTCCTGGTTTGGAGTTAGATCTGTACAGCCGGGTATGGTTGTTCAGGATGGTTGGGCCTGTGCAGCAAGGGTGTGCTGTTCAGTGTTGATTAAAATTTTTAATTAATTACTCTACTGTTTTACTACTCTTAACTCTTTGCTAAATGCTGCTTTCGCAAATGAGCCTATATTATGCCATCCTTTGGTATCCTTGTGCACTTGCATATTTGCTGTGTGGCTTGTTGAGTATGTCATATGCTCATTCTTGCAATAATCAATCAAACCTCAGTTGAAGATAAAGAATCCAGAAGGAGAAGACGTTTGGCTTATACCCCAGTTGAGCTGCCTGTGGGAGTGGAGCTGAAGCCATCGCTAGATCGTTATTCCGTTGCTATTTTCTTTTCTTTTGTAAGTGTGTAACGTTATTATTATGATGGATTTGTATATTAAATTGTCAGTTTGTGTACCTCGGCTGATTCCTGGACGAGGATTTTATGCACAAATAAGTTCGGAAATTACTAGTGAATTTCCGGGCGTGACATTCTTGTCCACCACGCGTCAGTTTAACAATCTGCATGTTCGCCCTTCTTCACACAACATCTTGCCTGTAATGGTTAGGATGAAGCCTGGCATATATCTGACCAGGACTAACGTGCCATCTCTGAGAGGTAACACGCTAGCTCCAGCTGGGGACGAGCGCCTAGAAGCGCTCGTCCTGACGGGATGGGGCGAGGCGTGCGTCAGATCGCCTGCCGCCACCTAACCCGCGATCTGACCGGTCTGTGACTGGTCACAGACCGGATAAACGAGTGCACTGCACTGCGTTACATGCGGCGTGACACGCTCAGCCAAACCGCAATAAATGTGGTTAGGTGAGCCCCACTGTGCTCACCTAACCCATACGCGCGGAGCAAAAACCCACGAGGGGTCGGGGCGCCTCGGCCCTCGGGGTCGAGGCAGGTGCGGCCCGACCCCCTCGGGGGGACTAAGAGGAGGGCGAACACATCACCCTCGGGCCCGACGTCCCTCGGGGGTGCCAGGCCACGTGTGCGATTGTGTCTGCCTCAAACCTCTAGCCATGATACTCCCGGTCCCATGTCACCGACAAATGTGAATCCCCGAATAACATGATCCGAGTGATATACCGACTGTTTTGTAAAATAAAATGCGAGCAATCTAGAGTTGACTACATCAATGAAAATTCACATATGGTGGCGCTGGTTTTGGTGGGACAACACCGATAACTTATGTTCATGCATTAGAATAGATATGTCAACCGCCCACTATAGATGACCAAACGGGCCGCCCGACCCAATACGACCAGGCACGGCCCGATTGGCACACCGAGACGTGCCATGGCCGCACACGGGCCGCACCAATGGCCATGCATGGCCAAATAAGACTCTAGTCATGTCGGGCCGGCCCGAAGACACGATATGTCCACCGTGCTCTTCCTTGGAGTAAGGCTCTGTTCCTTCCCTAGGGTTCCCAACTCCCCACCCTCGTTTTCCGTGCGCACGCTTTTCAAACTACTAAACGGTGTGTTTTTTGCAACAAGTTTCTATACGAAAGTTGCTTTAAAAAATCATATTAATCCATTTTTGAAAAAAAGCTAATACTTAATTAATCACATGTTAATGTGAATATCGTTTTACGTGCCGGGGAGGAGGGAACCCCTCCTCCCGAATAGAGCCTAAGTCTATTGTGCTTCCCTCATCTCTTTGGGTTGCCTTATATGGCTGCGATAAGTCTATATATTTCCCTCATCTCCTTGGGCCATACCTTATATGGTTGGAATAGTCTATTTGGCCTCCCTTATCTATTTCGTCTCATCGTTGGACCGGGTCAGCACGTCGTGTCAAGGAAGAGCCTTAGGCATGGGCCAATAGTAGGGCCGAACTGGTACGGGGCCAACTGTTGTATTTGGGCCGGGCCAAAACCCCGTGCCATGAGTCGTGCCTCGGGCCATTTGGCCATACATATACCACGCAGCACCAGATAGTGATGTGCGTTCCTTTAGTTTCCTTCATAGAGTATATGGTATGGTACTATGGTATACTTTGTTCACTCTACTATTTATTTGTGTAAACATCCAGATAGTGCAACCTAACAAACGGAGGCGCGCGAATTCGCCACGGCATGCTAAGTCGAAACGTCAAAAAATAAAGAAATTGTTTGTTTCTACGGATGTATCTCTAAGCCTGCCTGTATAGGAAGGATCGGATCGGAGTAAGGTCTATCCCCTGAGCATTTGAAGCACCTGCTGCAGCGTGGGAGCAAATCTGGTGACGTTGAGCTTGATATCCTGCTCAATCCAGTAGTACTTCATCCCGAACTGCCACCCTTGCTTGTGTATAGATTCCGGGTCCCTGATCGCCGGGTGGTCCTTGCCGTACTTGTCGTAGAGCGTGCTCTCCTCGGCGGCGATGCTGTACTCGACGTCGCGCAGCCTCATCTCCCTGGCCGGACCACCGTAGAACACCATGGATGGGTGTTCCATGTGGCCCCACGGCACCACCTGCAGCATCACCGCGTTGGTGCGGAGGAAGAAGAAGTTGGTGAGTCCGGCCCCGTGCGCGCCCATGAGCACGTCACATGAGTCCACCACCCGGGAGAACTCCTCGATGCTCAGGTCACGACGCGGCTCCACCGGGACCACCTCGAAACCTGCTGCCACCACCGCCGCGGCGATCTCCTGGAAGTTGACGAATTTCCTCGTCCGCCCGCGGTTGATGAGCATGGCCCGCGGCCTCCGTTGCATACTGGACTCCTTGAACGGGATGTCCACGCCGGCGGGCGGCAGCGAGTAGACCTCCCGGATGTAAAGCCTGAAGTCCAGCATTGTGTAGTTCCGCTGAGTGCGAGCTGGGTCGATCCCGAGGTCGCGGTGGCTGCGGAGTCCTACGGTGATTTTCGGGTAGCACCGGACGTCGCTGTCCTGGTTGAAGTCGACGATGTCGTAGCGGGACAGGTTGGTGAGGATGAGCCGGTACTTGTCGACGAACCACGGTTGCAGGTCGGAGACGAGGAACTGGACCTCGCCCTCGTAGACGCGGGTGGTGATGAAGAGTGGGATGAGCACGTCGCTGAAGTCGTGCCACGGGTTCGAGGTAAGCCCGTTCATGGCGAACACCACGGCCGGGACGGCGTGGCGAGAGGTGCATCCCGGCGCTGCCTGGGCATCCAATGACCTTACCGTCACCTTGTTTATGTACTCCAGGTACTTGCGAGACTGATCTCGGATGCTCCATTCATGGCTGTCGTCGGCAAGCCCACGCTCTCCGACGGGCGGCACGTAGAGTATGGTCCGATTGGTGCCCATGGTCCGTGCGTCGCCGGAGATCTCACAGATGTCATACCTGGGATCTAACAGGTCGCATATTGGCTTGCGTGGTGCACCTGCAGCCGACACGTACAATTGGTGATTCCTCACATAAATTAATGATGGTGATAAATATAATATTGTAAAATATGAGCCGATGATTGACATCTAGCACATGCATATCATCAATCAACATATATAGTTTAGTTTTCAGTAACACAAATGTAAAACTTAATTTATCAGCTTAGTTTTTATTTTAACTGTTTTATCAGCTGTAGTGCAAACGATGAAATTCATCACTAATACATACTTCATTTTCAATGTATATATATAGGTAGCAGCGTCGATTATTTGAGGGTAGTCCAAGTAGTAAAATGGAAGGACGGACAAGCAATTGTAAGTATTAGATTCATAAAAAAAATTGATTTCGTCAAAAAAAAAATCTTTGAGAAAGGGCGAAACATACCGGGTTTATGGTTTGTGCCATTTTTCGTTCCAGCTTGATCAATGTCTTGCCGGATAAGATCCTCCTCCATCTTGTCACTTGCTTCGTCGTTCACAGCTGGCTGGCTAGACCGCTCAGTATTTTTCCCTTCCAAGTTATCTAATTAATAACAGTGAGTCAACTAGTACTATAGTACATGCCGCAGAAGAAGATTGATTATATATGGAGATATAAAAATTTACAAGTCAACAAAATATTGGCGATGAGTTTGGTAGAGAGTTACCATCGAAATACCGAAGTTAGAGCCACCCTGGTTATTCTTGTCCGTTGAGTATAGATATTTTTTTAGATGTCATGATATACGTTTTTGGATCAACACGGGACTTCGGGTGCAACGGACAAACTGGCTCCCATTTTATACATCCTATTTTCACTTTTTGTCTGTTGGCATTAGGCAACCAGCAGGCAATTTGTTCTTTTTCTTCGTTATCCTCTTTATTTTCTAGAGGTTATGTTCAAATCAGCAATCAGTTTCGAGTATTTTTGGACCTTGGTATCAAGCCATAGGATGATGTAATGTGTGTGCAGGGAGGACCACACGCGCGTACGTGATTTGTTATTGATGTGGAACAATTTTTTTAATGTATATATATGATAATATAATGGTAGATTGCACGGTGAAACAGAACTGTCAAGCATATATATATATATATATATATATATATATATAACTTCACACATCTCTAAAACTAGACGACGAAAATACACAAATTAAATTAAATTATCAAAACTTTATGCGCTGATTACGGGGTAATAGCAATGCTTTGCTGAGTTATTCCAGTATGTAAGAAACGAGTATTAATATGATTATATCTCTATCATGTAGTCATCATCCATCAAGGTCATGCCTGCACATATATATGTAACCATTTCCCTATCGTACTAACTATCGTTCCACTAAGTATATAACCTCAACACGGCATCAAACACTAATTAAGCCACAAGTCACGTGGGCCAATGAGTTTGGTTCCCAAATCGTCAGTTTGTACGCCATGATTGTGAGGTAGCAAAAAAAATATATTATTGATCATTGGGTATTTAATTTAATTCTTTTTGGATGAATCTTACTTGGAAATGTGCAAATACTAAACATTATCCCCTCCGTCTAAAAAAAATTCCAATCCTAACTACGAAACTGGACACGCAGGTCCAGATCCGTACATAGCTAGAGTTTATCTTTTTTTTGACAGAGTAGTACGTGATAGTCTGTGTATCCCGAACCACTGAAATGGGTATAGAGCTATCTATTTCCCCTTCTGGTCCAAATGAATAATTTTACTTGTGTAGGGTACTAACTTGAAGGTTTTGGAACGGTATAGCGCTAATTAAACCACTATATATAACCAGATTAAAGAGAAATATAGCATTCGCATAGATATATATATAAAGATGAGAGTAAACATGTTGTGTAAGATTATACATGACATTGAAATTGTCACATTATATCCATTTCAAATTTGTTTTTACATATATAGTAGTATGTGCGGTCATTTTAGAAATTACTTGCACCAAAGAAATTTTTACAGGTAAGCGGAAATCAATTTATTTGTTGAGGCGGTTCTGCCGCCCTCCTTTTTGTGTGCAAAATATCTTAGGGGTCGCAATTTCGGACTTGCTAAAAATACTCGGTAATTTTAGAATTTATGATGTTATTAGACGAGTTTGATATGGAGTTTTCTGGGGGTATTAGGAGTATTTAAGGGCCTGTTTGGTACAGCTCCAGCTCTAGCTCCACCCCTCCTGGAGCTGGAGCTCAACCAAACAGTTTCAGCTCCACCAAAACTAGGAGTGGAGTTGGGTGGAGCTTTCTCACAAAATGTACTAGAGTTGTGGAGCTGGGTTTAAGCAGCTCCACAACTCCACTCCAGACTCAACTCCTGGAGTTATATTTAGGAGTTGGAGCTGTACCAAACAAGTCCTTACTACTCCCCTATGTTCTTACTGCGATTTGTTTTCTAGTTTGTCCTAATATATATATATATTTAGGATACCAAAAGTAACTTATAATATGTATCAGAGGATATAATATGTATCAGAGGAAGTAATTAATACTACTATGAGTTTAATAAAGTAGCAATCACTGTACGTATACATCGTTGTCAAGTAGTTAGTACCTTGTGTCGTATTGCTGGACGTGGACGTTGGTGAAGTCGGAGATGTGGTCCTGCCGTCTTGATCGGTATGCACGGCAGGCGTGGACTGTTGTGTGACGGCCCTCACTGATAACAACAAAACATGTACATATAGCTTATTTTTCTGAAAAAAAAACCGAGTTTGTTCTTCCTTGTATTTTTATTTCCACTGCGTTAGGAAACTAAGCTAGGTAGGAACTTTAATTTAGTTCTTCTTCCAGAAAGATAACATCTAAGTAGAGTGCATTATAAATGATGAAACAGTATAAACAGAGGAATAAAGACTTTCCAATTTTAGTCATTATAGTACTAGTTAAAGTTTTCTCCGAGGGGTTGATTAGAGCATGTGTGCATCTCTTAGCAGCGATTGGCACCTAATTTAGGTGTTGTCAGCTGTACGTATTAGACCATGTTCACATTTCTCCCTCCCCCCCCCCCCCTCTCTCTCTCTCTCTCTCTCTCTCTCTCCCCCCTGAAGCACCGTCGACTTCGCACAGTACTGGAATGCACATGGAATTCTTTGGTTTCTTTTTAAAATTTCAATCTCTATTTCGTGCTGCTCTATATAATGGATGTTGAGAAAAATATTTCAGAGAATTATAGAGCTCATGCATACATCACCGGCCAGGTCTACACACAATTATTGGTGCCTAATTAAGAAAGAGAAAGATGTGCTAACTACAAGAAGAAGAAAAAAGGAAAAACTGCAATGGCATTTAGCCATGAAGACATGAAAAGAAACTCAGATATATATGCATACATGGAAATGCGAGTGGTATTGTGGTAACCGTAAGATGCATCTAGCTAGATAAATAGATAACAGTGGATAAACCAAGCAGTGTTTAACAGCAGTAGAATAATTCTCTCAAAAAGAAAATATTAATAGAATCAATAATAAAGGATCACTAATACTAGCTAGCTATAGGTAGGGTACTAACCAATGGCATCCTCCGAGGAAACAAGCTGGCCAGAAAGGAAGGTGTAGAGCAGCAGGACCAGGAAGAAGCCAAGCAGGAACCCGATCACGGCCTTGTGGTGCTGCGCCAGCGTCTTCGCTACGCCCTTTACCGCCGGAGGCGCCGATGGCATCTTCGTCGTCGACGGCTCCGGCGCCGGCGTCTTGGACTGGCTAACCATCCGTCCTTTTCTTCTCTTCTCTTCTCTTCCTCCTCCTCTACGTAAGAGACTTGCCTTATGTGATGGATACTTCTCTCAAAGAGATTTCAGCTCCTACCGCATAATTTGATTCTAGCTAGCCCAAGGGTTTGCGCACACACATATATATATTTGCACAGGCTGTCTAAGACGACTGCCTAACTATTAACAACTGGTTTTTGCATATTCTACATGAGGCTTTGGCTGTCAGCGGGCTGTGCATTATATTGCTAGCTAGCTTGTCCAATCAGCACGCCTCAAGCGGGTGGACGTTATTGTTACGTAAAGCTGCCTATGGTTTTGCTTTAACTCGGTTTTATTTCATTCCTTATATATGTATGCAAGCTAATTGAAACCCCTCACATTGCATCCGAAATTTTCATAACCTTCTAAACATTTGAAGAGACTCATTAGTTAATTTCTTTTGAATACAATAAGTCGTGTCGTGCGTCACACGCACCATCGTAGTATATATATGTCCAAATAAGATTCGATGCCTAGCGTTCATGATCGTTAAATACCAATTTTGACCGCTAATTAGCACAATGAATAAATGAAAAATTAGCATTTCTTACATATATATCATACTGTAGTTGTATTAGGATTGGAGAATTATCGTAGATGCAAGAGTTTTATATCAAAGTGAAGGAGAAATAAGGTTGGCATGCAAATCATGTGTGAGCACACAAACCCTACTACAAAAGTGATTTTTTTGTACGAGTCCCCATGATTTTTGCAAACGGACCATAACTAGTAGCGTATGTAAAAATCGAGCACCATTTTCTCAGACGGCTGCTTAAGACACCCGTATGGAAAAATCGATTTTCCCATACGGGAAGAGGTCCGCATGCAAAAATAACCTCATTTTTACATGCGGCTCACTTAAGCGCCCACATGGAAAAATCGATTTTTCCATACGGGCACTACAAGAATCTATTTAATCTATGACGAAAAAAATTCATCATGGATAATTCGTCATAGGAATTTGTTTGTGACGATTATACTTATCGTCATCTATTGGGCGTCACAGATTAAATGTACCGACGTTTTCTCTGAAATCGTCACGGATCAGCACAATCTATGACATTTTTTTAACCGTCATAAAACGCTTATGGGCTCGTGTAGTCCAGCCTAGGCCCAACCTTTGTCACAAAATTAAACGTCACAGATGGTTACCACGTGGCAGCCAACATGGCAGGTGACGTGGTCGTTTTGACACGTGTGCGATGACATGTCACTGATGATGTGGCAGCTAACGTCAGCAATTTTTTTATACAGCCCATTTTTTTAACGACCCATTATTTTTTTATGGCCCATTAATTTTTAAAAAGCCCATTAATTTTTTTAACTGGCCCATTTTAAAATAGGTACATTTCAAAACTAGGCCCATTTCAGAACTGCTCATTTTATCAAGGAAAAAGTACACCGAAGGTCCCTCAACTTGTCATCGGGATTAAAAAAACATCCTCGAACTGCAAAACCAGATATACGAGATCCCTTAACTATGTAAAACCGGTCACAATAAGTCCCTTGGCGGTTTTGATCCCGGTTTTATCCTACGTGGCTGCTGAGTCATTATAGGACCCACGTGAGCCCCACATGTCAGCCTCCTCTTTCTTTCCCCTCTTCTCTCTCTTCCTCTTCTCTCTTTCTCACTCTTCTCTGGCTCTGTGTAGGCCGGCGCCGGGGTGAGGCGGGGAGGAGGTCCGGCGGGGCGAGGCGGGAGAGGAGGTCCGGCAGCCGGCGACGTGGCGGCGGCGCCGGCGGAGATGACGCGGGATCAGGAGAGCAAGGCGGCGGCGGCGGCGACGACGCGGGAGCAAGGGAGGGGCGTCGGCAGCGGCGAGGGCGGCGGCGACGTTGACGTGGGAAGAAGTTGACGCGGAGCCGGCAGTCGGCGTCGGCGGCGGCTTGGTCGATTGAGCACAGCCGCCGTGTCCATCTCCACCTCCGCCGCTCAAGAACAAGTTGTTGGGATACGCGCAGGCTACGATAGCATAAATCAAAATTTTCTATCGTGTAAACCAGGAACCATGTAAGTATCATTACCACTCGATGCGCTGTGCAGCGGAAGAAGACGCTGAGAAGTCGAAGGAACTCTCGCGAAGTAGCGCGCGTCGATGTAGTGGAAGTAGTCGATCGCACCGGCTTGACCTTGTCCTCCTCGTGCGTTTTCCTCGCCATACTCCCACGCCGATCAGCACCGCAAAACAGCGGCGCCTCTACCGGTATCCACACGTACAGGGACGGAACGCCACGCGCAGATGTGCTAGCACCCGCGCGCGGCTAGGGTTTTGCTCGGGGAGGGAAGTGACGGCTAGGGTTTCTCACCTGATGCAATGCCTCCGCCGGTCACACCCCTCACGAATATATAGGATCCATCATTCGGACCTCCAAGGCCTGTAGGACTCCTATTCGGATCCTTATCCGAATTAAGCTCATATTGGATCTCTATCCAATCCCCTTATTCCGGCCCATTAAGCGTGCGACCTTGTAGGTTCATATATACTCGGCTGTAACCCGAAAACTTATTTTCGGTCCACGCGTCAACAGCGGCCCCTAGCAGAACGTATTGACCCATCGGGCATACATAAAGATCATATCGGCTGAACCTCTAGTGTATACTTGTATGAACCCCTTTGCCTCACGATATCGATTAAGCTCAAGGCTAGATATGTGACATCCTCTAATAGCTCAATCATTCACTCGAATCTGTTGATAGATTATATAACTTGTGATTGACTTCTCAATCACCTTTGGCATGGCCATGCACTTCCATAATCTACAACATCGAGGGGCCCAGAGATATCTCTCCATAGGAGGGGCAAATCCCATCTTGATTATTCATATCCCACTACATGTTTCATAGCATACCCGAAAACTACTTTTATAACTACCCAATTACGGAGTAGCGTTTAGCATTCCCTAAGTAAGCTACTACACATGTTGAGAACCATGATAATCTCAGGTCTAAGGATTCAACACCAACACTCAATGAGATCACTGATGACACAACACATATGGCTCTTGCAGTGTCTCATGTTGGGTCTATCCAACAACATGTTCACCAACATGTGTCCACATTATTAATTTGGTATCTCTATACCATGATCCATGAGATATGATCATCAATTAATACATGTGCTGATCATATAAACATATTTGTTCCAGATATGATATTTGATCAGGGATCCTTTAGAAATAGTAACAAACAACATAAAGAGTCTCATGAAAGAATCACATATTCATTAACTAATAAGGAGTTATCTATTAGTTATCTATTTCAAGGAACAATGTCGAATAAATATGTAAATATAGTATGTGATACAATCATCTCTATGATTGCCTCTAGGGCATATCACTAACAGTCTCCCACTTGCACTAGAGTCAATCATGAATGTATCTTACACCCATTGCCCTAGTGTGTGCCTCATGCTTAGGCTGAGGGAGTGGCTTTGTCAACGGATCTACAACATTCAAATCCGTATGTATTTTGCATATCTTCACATCTCCTCTACCCACCATCTCGCGAATGAAGTGATACTGCCGTAAAATGTGTTTGGACTTTTGATGTGATCTAGGCTCCTTGGCTTGCGCAATGGCACCACTATTATCGCAATAGAGGTCCATAGGGCTAGAAGCACTAGTCATCACACCTAGTTGAGAAACAAATTTGTTTATCCAAACAACCTCCTTTGCTGCTTCAGAAGCGATAATGTATTCGGCTTCTGTTGTAGAATCAGCCACTGTATCTTGCTTGGAACTCTTCCAACTCACAGCGCCTCCATTCAGGCAGAACACAATTCCAGACTGTGATCTAAAATCATCTTGGTCGGTTTGGAAGCTTGCGTCAGTGTAACCATTTACAACGAGCTCTTCCTGTCCTCCATAGACTAGGAACATATCCTTAGTTCTTCTCAAGTACTTCAGGATATTCTTTACAGTTATCTAGTGACTCTCACCTGGAGCTGATTGGTATTGGCTTGTTGCACTATGTGCATATGAAACATCAGGACGTGTACATAGCATAGCATACATAATGGATCCGATTGCCGAGGCATATGGAATCACACTCATCTTGTTTCGCTCATCAGTCGTTTGAGGACACTGATTCTTGCCAAGATTAATGCCATGTGACATCGGTAAGAAACCTTTCTTAGAATCTTCCATGTTGAACCTCTTCAACACATTGTTAATGTATGTACTCTGGCTTAATCCAATTAGCCTCTTTGATCTATCTCTATAGATCCTTATGCCCAGAATATATGCTGCTTCCCCTAAGTCCTTCATTGAAAAACTATTTTTCAACGATGTCTTAACGGATTCAAGCATAGGAATATCATTCCCAATCAATAATATGTCATCTACATATAGGATTAGAAACACCAGTGCGCTCCCACTAATCTTCTTGTATACACAAGGCTCTTCTTCGTTTTTGACAAAGCCCAACGCCTTGACTACTTCGTCAAAACGAATATTCCAACTCCGAGATGCTTGCTTCAACCCATAAATGGATTTCTACAATTTGCATATCTTTTTAGTTGATTGTGGATCAACAAATCCCTTGGGTTGTGTCATGTACATATCCTCATCGAGATTTCTATTGAGGAAAGCTGTTTTGACATCCATTTGCCATATCTCATAATCGAAATAGGCAGCAATAGCTAAAACAATCCGAATAGATTTTAGCATGGCGACTGGTGAGAAAGTTTCATCATAATCAACACCTTGAATTTGTCTGAAACCTTTCGCCACCAATCGTGCCTTGTAGATGTGAACATTTCCATCTACATCTGTCTTTTTCTTAAAGACCCATTTGCACTCAATGGCTTTTACACCATCAGGTGGATCAACCAAGTTCCAAACTTGATTGACATGCATGGATTCTATTTTGGATTTCATGGCTCCAAGTCATTTCTCAGAGTCTGGTCCCACCATTGCTTCCTTATAGGTAGAAGGTTCATCGTTGTCTAACAACAATATATCACGTTGTCCTGTAGTTAACAACGCATACCTCGCAGGTGTACGCCGCATTCTTTTGGACCTTCGTGAAGCCGGTGCTTTCACAACTGGTTCAACAACAACTTGTTCAACCTGTTGAACAACATCTTGCTCAGCTTGTCGTTGTGTGGACGTTGAAGCGTTTTCTGGTGTTTCCTGAATTTCTTCAAGTCGCACCATGCTCCCACTATCCTTTCTTGAAATAAACTCTTTTTCCAAGAAAACACCGTGTCGGGTGACAAACATTTTGCCCTCTTCCCGATTATAAAAATAATAACCTTTCGTTTCCTTAGGATACCCTACAAAGAAGCATTTATCTGATTTAGGTGTGAGTTTGTCCGATTGCAAACGTTTTACATAGACCTCACAGCTCCAAATCTTTAGGAAAGACAAACTAGGACGCTTCCCTGTCCATATCTCATATGGTGTCTTATCCACTGATTTTGATGGAACCCTGTTTAGTGTGAACGCAGCTGTCCCTAGAGCGTAACGCCAAAAGCTTAGCGGCAGATCAGTTTGGCTCATCATTGATCGCACCATGTCCAACAATGTACGATTCCTCCGTTCAGACACCCCATTCCACTGAGGTGTTCCTGGTGGAGTGAATTGTGGAACAATTCCACACTCCTTTAGATGATTGCCAAATTCAAGGCTCAAGTACTCTCCACCACGATCAGATCGTAGATACTTGATTGTCTTGCCCAAATGATTGTGTACCTCATTCTGAAATTCCTTGAACTTTTCAAAGGACTCAGACTTATGCCTCATTAAGTAGACAACCATATCTACTAAAGTCATCGGTAAAGGTAATAAAGTACCCAAAACCACCTCTGGTAGTTGAGCTCATTGGTCCACATACATCAGTATGTACTAGTCCCAATAGTTCACTTGCCCTTTCACTTTGACCCGTGAAAGGTGCCTTTGTCATTTTGCCAAGTAAACAAGATTCACATGTCTCAAATGATTCAAAATCAAACGAGTGTAGAAGTCCATCTCTATGAAGCTTCTCCATGCATTTCTCATTTATATGACCCAAGCGACAATGCCAAATAAAAGTGGGATTCAAATCATTAGGACGTTGCCTTTTTGCATTAATGTTATAGACTGAACATCCATCAAGATTCACAATGTATAAGCCATTCATCATGGGTGCATGGACATAGAAAATGTCTTTATAATAGACTAAACAACCATTGTCTACAGATCTAAAACCATAACCCTCTGCTTGCAAACAAGAAGCAGAGATAATGTTCTTACACAAAGCTGGAATGCAATAACAATTATTTAACTCCAAAACTAATCCTAACGGTAAAGATAATGGCATAGTGCCGACCGCAACAGCAGCAACTCTTGCTCTATTGCCCACGCGAATGTCCAATTCGCCTCTTGCTAAGCTCCTACTTCTTTTCAGCCCCTGCAACGATTTGCATATGTGAGCAACTGACCCGGTATCAAATACCCAAGAATCAGTAGAGGAAGTAGCAAGATTAATTTCTATAACATTAATACCTGAGGTGGAACTCTTTCCATCCTGCTGCTTCTGCTTGAGCTGCTCTAGGTATTTCTTACAGTTTCTCTTCCAATGACCTGTCTCCTTGCAAAAGAAGCACTCTGCATCCTTAGCGAGCCCTGTCTTTTGAACCTTGGTCTTAGAGTTGCTAGTACTCGTGATCTCATCAGAGTTTAGCTTTCTCTTTTGACCACTTTTCTTGTTGTTGGGCTTGTGCTTATGCATAACCATCACATGGTTGGAGTTTTTCTTAATGCTTTCCTCGGTAGTCTTTAGCATCCCATGCAATTCTGCCAAGGTCCTGTTCAGGTTGTTCATGTTGAAATTCATTATGAACGGCTCAAAGCTGGGAGGGAGCGACTGGAGAATCAAATCAGTAGCCAACTCTCGGCTTAGGGGAAAGCCAAGCTTATCCAGACTCTCGGTGTAACCAATCATTTTGATCACATGTGGGCTCACTGGATTACCTTCTGCAAGCCTGCACGCAAACAAGGACTTTGAGGTATTAAACCTCTTAGCTCTTGCTTGGTCCTCAAACATGTTACGTAGTCTCGTGATTATTGTATGAGCATCCAATGCCTCATATTGCCTTTGAAACTCAGGGGACATAGTAGCAAGCATGAGACAGCTTATATCAAGGTATTCATTGCATCGCCTTTCATGCTCCCTACGTTTAGCAACAGGAGCATTGTTGGGCAAGTCAGCTGGAAAAGGCTGTGTAAGCACAAACTCTTTGTGCTCTTGCCTGAGAACAATTCTCAGGTTGCGATACCAATCCATGAAGTTTGTTCCAGTCAACTTCTCTTTCTCAAGAATAGACCGCAAGTTAAAATTGGATGGTGCAAGAGCTGCCATGATCTACAATAGAAATATATGTATGCAAAATTAGCACCCTGTTTACATTTAACATTTCATTAAACAATTTAACAAAAGATACTCCCACCATGTATTGTGAAACAAAATTCCCTCTAGTAACATAGTGAGTCAAGATCCTCATTTTATTAGTGTCTAGTGAGCTTTAGCATCACAGCTAGACAACTATCAAAATAGGTAAGCAACACCTTGCTAATCACATCATATGTGACTCTTGTGCTGTTGGGGTGACATCTCCATGTCCAACCCAATCTATGCCCCAAAGGTCCAAAACTGTTTTGATAACCTTGTCAAGTAAACCAATAATCTCCTCATATAGATGTCCGACATCTATCCTATTTTATCATGATAAAAAGTGACACTTTGCTATGGCAAACCCATCACTTATGATCACAACCGTAATAGGAGCAATTATTGGAGGAGCATAAATTACACTTTATTTTTCTGAGGGAATCTATCCTACCATGTCATATCAAATATACAACAACAATAAAGTAAGATAGATATAAAAACCCCAAGCGAAATCTAAGAGGCAACGCACATGGCGGTCCCTGAAAAGGTCACGGGGTACATAGATGTCATCTACAATTCGCCATGTGAAAACCTTAACGGCGTAATCAAATTATGCCGAAACCGAGTCAATCTCATTGGCTCGTTTTTCTCATTGGCGTGCGGTTCTAGTGGACATCGGATTATCTGATGAACACATTCCAGTGAAGTCACCAACACACATACCGATTGATCTCATCAACCCATGCGGCTATCGGTTCATCTCATGTTTCGATCACCTAAGAACTCATATACAACATAATAGATCTCATCTACTACATCCACATATCAATTATATGCAATGATCTAGATCATAAACTATACAAGGCGGCTCTGATACCACTGTTGGGATACGCGTAGGCTACGATAGCATAAATCAAAATTTTCTATCGCGTAAACCAGGAACCATGCAAGTATTAGATCATAGATCGTTACCACTCGACGCGCTGTGCAGCGGAAGAAGATGCTGAGAAGTCGAAAGAACTCTCGCGAAGTAGCGCGCGTCGATGTAGAGGAAGTAGTCAATCGCACCAGCTCGACCTTGTCCTCCTCGTGCATTCTCCTCGCCGTACTCCCACGCTGATCAGCACCGCAAAACAGCGGCACCTCTACCGGTATCCACACGTAAAGGGACGGAACGCCACGTGCAGATGTGCTAGCACCCGCGCGCGGCTAGGGTTTTGCTCGGGGAGGAAAGTGACAGCTAGGGTTTCTCATGTGATGCAATGCCTCCGCCGGTCACACCCTTCACGAATATATATATGATTCATCTCTCAGGCCTCCAAGGCCCGTAGGACTCCGGCAACCCTCCCCCATCCCTCTTTTTTTCCGTCCGCACTCCCTCCGTCCCCACTTTTCTTTTGTCTGTCCACTCCCACCATTCCGTTCCCTTTTCTTTTTTTGTTCTTTCCTCCCGCACTCAAGTAATTGGCTTATTAGTAAAAGGATTTTCCTCCCGCACCCACGCAATTGGGCTATTAGTAAAAGGATTACTTAGTCTAACCCATGAGTAAACGAGTTACTAACAAGAAAACTAAGCTTTCGTGAGTAAACGAGTTACTAACAATAAAACTAAGCTTTGCTAGTCACTTCTCATATTAGCCCATGGGTAAAAGAGTTACTGAGATTGATAGTCTACGAGTAAAACGATTACTATCCAGACAAAGGCTCTACAACATATCCATATAGTCGTAGTAATATTTTTCCTCCTAGGTATTTTTCACTTGCCAGGACATGATTTACTCTGTTTGCATTTAGTAATTTGTTCACTATGCTTTGACATGATTTTGTAAAAACATTACCAGTTATTTGTAAATAATATTTTTTTCACTATATTAACAAGAACAAGAACATGGTTATGTCATAATAATTGAATTTTTGTTCTATCAAGTGACCAACAAAATTACACATGGGAGACAAAATACACATATTCTCATGATAAGGGGAAAAAAGAGAAAAATACTGCTGCACGTAACATCCCAACTCGCCAAACACCACAACTAGACAAATACACATATTCATCGTGATCCAAGAAAAACACCACCACCACGCTGGTGCCAGCTATCCTCCCATTTTAGAATCAAGGATAAATCACCCCACAAAGTGCTCCCCTCCTGGATCTCTTTCCTGGAAACTCAACAAGCCCAAGTGAAGCATTTACCCAAGAATCGGGAAAAAAAACAAATTAAATGCAATAACACCAGTACGGTCTCGCCTCGAGATCTAGATCAAGAAAACGCAAGCATAGACACATTGTTGCAGCAATCCAGAACTGAGACAAAAGGACATGAGAATCTCCAGATCTTCTCCTCAGCAGAAGCAGGTTACCCACGACCACGAAGAACAATAGCCAGGATCAACCACCTGCTTTGTTCAACCAAAAAATTCAGAAATTTTAGTGTGAAGTTTGTTGCGTCAAAATATTCAGAGAAAAAATATGTACTATAGGACCATATGTAGTGAGCAATTCAGAGAAAATCAATCGATTTGCTTTGTTGAGCCACGAAATTTCAGAGAACTGCTATTGAATCGAGCTTCTTAAATTTTTAATCTATCAGAAATATCAAAGAACCTGATGATGATGGTATTGGCAGTGTTCCGAACATTGCACACACAAACTTCTTAAATTTTAATCTATCATAAATATCAAAGAACCTGATGATGGTGGTATTGGCGGTGTTCCGAACATTGCACACACAAATATATCACTGAACAAATGAAATACAGATGGGAGCAGTTTTTTGAACATACATGTTGCATAAACAATTTCACGACTGAACACATAAAAATTCTGATGAGAGCATCAAAATTAGGTGCTTCATGCATTGCAAAAACAACAGCCTGGCAACAGGACTATTCACGCATGATGCTGATCCAGCAAAAGCGGCATTCACGAAAAAATCAATTAGAAAAGCCTGCTAACCTATCAATTACAGAAACCAGTGGATGTATAGAAGCCTGAAAAATTCAGAATCTCAGTGGATGTTAGTGTTACACAAACCAAATCCAGATCACATATAAAAAATGAACCAGCAAGAAGTTTGATAGGATTATAGTTGAAAGTCTCATGAATTCTCTGATATCTAAATGCTGCCCTACAGTGTTTCGTGACATCAACAGGAAAAAAAAATGTAATCATACATTCAGATTCACTACATACTAGTACAAAATCAGCATCTCTCGATCTGCTTCTACTCTATCATTGACACATCGCGGAAAACAAATCCTAGATCACTGCATACAACCTTCGACCACAAAACATAATCGAGAACACAAAACATACAGAGAGATGTCTAAGTGGTAGAACAGGTATGCACTGACCTGCATCTTCCTGGATGAGGATAGTGACGCCCTATACCTGGGAGGAGGGCGGCCGGAAGGGCCCCATCCCCTCGACGACAGCAGTGAGAGGAGACAAGCGGCAGGTGCGCCAGAGAGGGAGGGCAGATCCAGGCCGGCAGGTGGATTATGCAGCGACGACGAACCCGGGCGACACATCTCGAATGGCGACGACCAGACGGCAAGAGAGAAGACGGGGATGAGGTTGGCCGATGGTGATGGATTGCCACGAATGGAGGACGGCCGGCTTGTCACCGTCGCCGTTCACCTTCTGCACCGAGCTTCCAACTCTGTCGCTGCTCCTAGCCGACAGCCGTCGCTCAACCGCTCCACCGAGCCACCGCCCGGCGCACCTCAAATAGCGGCGACCAGACGGCGGGAGAAAGGATGGGGATGAGGTCGGCCGGCGGTGGAGGATCACCGCGCCTGGAGGACGGCCGGGCTTGTAACTGCCGCCGTTCAGCTTTCGCACCGAGCCGCCAGATCTGCCGCCGTTCCTAGCCAGGGGCGTCGGTGCTCAACAGCTCCACTAGCCACCACCTCTCTCTCTTAGATCCGAAAAAATAGGATCTATATATGTTAGCGTTGGGTAACATAAAGTAAACAAATTACTCGAATTATGGCGTGGGTGGGGGAAGGGAGCGCAGGGATAGGGTGCCGGGGGATTGGTTGTGAGGGGGAGTGTTTTACATATTAGGGTGCGGGACACACACACACTCACACACACACACCCACACACACATATATATACATACATATACATATATATACATACATACATATATATATATATATATATATATATATATATATATATATATATATATATATATATATATATATATATATATATATATATATATATATACACACATATACATATATACACACATATACATATGTATACACATATACATATATATACATATGTATATGTATGTATGTATATATATATATATATACATATACATATACATACATACTCCCTCCGTCCCATAAAAATTACATTTCTAGCTAATTTAGGACTAAATAATAGGCTTGGAAAATGACCACAATGACCTTATTTAATGAACCCATTGCATACACACATTCCATATATACAAATGATTAAAAGGAAGTTTGAGAGAATTAACCCATATAATTAGCATACTTAAATTACAAGCTGAGAGAACTTCAGGAAACTTATCTAGATGAATCAATTTACTGGGTCGCACATGGCTAGAGATACAATTTTTGTGGGACAAAGCCTTAGAGCTAGAAATTCAATTTTTTTGGGACGGAAGTAGTATGTACATACATACATACATACATACATACATACATACATACATACATACATACATATATATATATATATGTATATATATATATGTATATGTAGATATATATATATATATATATGTATATCTACATATACATATATATATATATATACATATATATATATATATATATATATATATATAAATTATTCTACACCCGGGTATAGAATAGCTCCCCTCCCTCCGAAGGGCCAAACCCACCTCCCATCTTAGTCAAAGGTCAGTCAAAGCACCCCCACGTCGGTCAAAGCCCGGTCAAATCATCTACCAACTCCCCCCACCACCCACCTTTTCTCAGCTCTCGTCTTGCAGAACAGGGCAGTAACGCGATAGCCATCATGTAGTAACGATGTGTCTTACGTACAGTAACAACATTCAAATTTAGTTGAAATATAGTCATGATGGATCTACTTTTGATAAGCATTTTTTTTCTAACATCATGGTGCAAACGGTTGAAAAAAATCATACATCACATGAGAGATATCGTTATTCGAAGCTTGGGGTTTTTGGATCTTGACTCTCCACAAGTAGTAATACTATAGCATTACTACTCGTTACTTCTATGTGTTATGCGTTACTACAATCCCATCGCAACGTTACTGTAAGTGTGCACAGTAAAGACCATAGGTTTGTAGTAACAATGCGTCTTATTGCAATTCTTGAATAGTGTTACTGTATAAACATATCTAGTAACACTTCCACTTCGTGCAGTAACAAGTATATTTAGCATGTGAGACTTTTAATCCATTTTTTTTTATTTCTGGTTTACTACAATTTCACCACGATGCTACTGCCAAATATACAGTAATGTTCTGTATGTTCTACAGTAACAAAGTGTTTTACTGCAGTTTTTGGATAGTGTTACTGCATAAACATACAGTAATGTGTAACTGTCAGGTGGTAACGTGTTTATGCCGTGCAGTAACACTTTTACTTTTGTGCAGTAACAAGTATATAGTTAGCATATGAGACTCTGAACCCATATATTTTTTGTTTCAATTCCTGATTTACTGTCAAAAGTGCAGTAACGTCATATACATGCATGCAGTAACACTATATTAGAGGGAGAAGATCGGTTTTCTTCAAAAGAAGGAGGAAGAACGGTTTCTCGAGGAGGTGAGTATGTAGATGCATTTTGAAGTTCTATCCTCCACATGCAGTAACACTATAGCATCATTGTGAAAGCGGTTTTAAAAATAATACATATCTTGTGAGATATTGCTTTTCAAATATTGGCATTTTGAACTTTAGCACTCCATATGCAGTAATAGAATATGTAATTTGCAGTAACATGGGTATATACATGCAGTAACATGGTTTTACCAAATGTATAAAATTGTTCAAAACACTCGTACATCAATCAGACCTCACTCAAAGCCACCTACAGACTTACTTATAGCCCACCTATTCGATCTTCATCTCGTAAATCTGACATAGTAAAACTACGATTATCATGCAGTAACATAACTACTTGGAAGTGGTAACATGCACCTATTATGTAGTAACACTTCTACTTTTGTGCAGTAACAAGTATATGGTTAGCATGTGAGGCTTTAACCCATATATTTTTGTTTCGATTCCTGGTCTACTACAATTTTACTACGACGTTACTGCTAAAAGTGCAGTAACATCCTATGTGTTCTACAATAACATCACGTGTCACTGTACTTTTACAATAATGTTACTACTGGAGCATAGTAACATGTTATGAGTTTCGGTAGTGAAAGATATTAGAATTGATAATCATATTACTTTCTCACAAAATTCTTGAAACAAATAGCATCATTAGATGAATTGGTTAGAAGAATGTACTTTGAACTATGAGGTCATGGGTTCAAGTCTTCAATTTGACAACTTATTTATTATTTTTCTAGAAAAGAGAAAAAATGTTTCAGGGAGAAAAAAAATAGAAAAAAGAAAGAGGGAGATCGAGAGAGAAGAGAAGGCGGGAGGGGGAGGGGGAGGGGAAGCAAGAGAGAGGGGAAACATGAGGGAGGGTGTAGAATAGTCTTATCCTATATATATATATGTATATATATAGTAAATTTGTTTGGTGCTCCATGGTGCCCGGACACTATTGTTGAAATTGAGTATATACCTAATTCAAATGAGTATGAAACTTTTTCAATTACTTAGGTATTAACATTAACTACTTTACTAACTAGTTCAAAGCAAGTTTGAACTGAATTTGAACTTATTTTTGTTAGATTTTGATTCTAGGTATATAGCATCCATACATATAATTAGTTAGGTATGTAATCATGGATTGTGAAATAAAGTTAAATTTGAGTTGTTTTGTTGATAAGTATAGGTATGAATCGAATTATTATAACTAGGTATATACTTACAATTTAAAAAATTTGAGTGATTTTGTGCATTAGATACCATGGTGCCCCATATGAGTTTTATATATATATATATATATATATACATATATACATATATACATATACATATATACATATACATATATACATATACATATATGTACATATATATATAGGGATGCGCTAAACAGTGCCTGGGGTGCGCAATAACTAAACTACTCCCCTCACAGCACCCCACCCCACCCCCCACCCCCCACCCCCGTGCGCCCAGGGGGCTCTCCCGCACCTTTCTCTCCCTCACCATTTGTCTTTCAGTAAATAAATTACTTGTAGTTAATATCTTCTTATTAGTAAATGAATTACTAACTAATATATTGATTTTTGCATTGTAATCCGCACCTTTTGGCTTGTCCATTCCAACTGCAACCCGCACATTTCTCTTGCACACGTAGTGAATAAATTACTCTCTGTTAATTTCATTTTATTAGTAAATAAATTACTCGGAATCCAATTCATTTCTTCTCTCAGTAAATGGATTACTCCCAGGTTGTAGCCCTTCTCAGTTGGTTCATTCTCTCAGTAAATGAATTATTGTCGGGTTGGTCTCATTTATTCTCTTAGTAAATAAATTACTTAAGATAATACTACACTTAATTGGTTATCATACCTTCTAGCAGTAAATAAATTACTTAAAACAACGTATTGATATCGTCACAAGATTTCTCTTAGTAAATAAATTACTATTACACCAATCTCAACATAACATATTGACATTGCCAACAAATTCTCTTAGTAACCAAGTTACTATTACACTGATGGTTCTCAACATGTGTCTCTTAGTAACTAAATTACTATTACATGCACGAATCCAACAAGCAAGACGACGCTAGTGCCTCATATCGATGTTGAGCCAACAAAGCACTATAGATTCCTTAGGTCTCCCCATCGACAGGTATCCATCACCCATGAACATCTAGAGAGGTATCCCACAGCCACCTGGATATAGACAGAAACGATTACACCATCTAAAAGAAGTCTTTAATTTACACTCATAAATGACTCTAAATGAGATATGATTCGCTGAAGAAGAAATAAAATGCTTCATAAAAAATTGAGCAGCAGGAAGAGAGAATATGTGCAAAATGCAGCCTCAATCTGAAGAACATAAATCGAGTAGAATAAATTTTAGAACTGATGAGTCTATGCTGCTTTATTTACAGGAATACACTCCATTAGACTGATCATAGATGTCAGATGTTCACATGCATGTTAAATTAAGAACCAAAATTCTAATTGACACATTATCAGTTCGCCAAGATAAATCCAGAAAAAGTGTGCAAAGTGTACAACTTGAAACATTTAGAGCGTCCATGTCAAATGAACCAAGGATCCTATATCTTCAGAGATCACCCAGATATCATTGAGGTCAAGAGAAAAGTTCAATTTGGCAGTCAGTAAAGATCTGTTTCCAGGGAACATATTATTATGCATAAAAATGATACTAATCAAATAGACTCGTCCTAGATTTTTCACGATACCAATGCCCAAATAAGCTAAAATGATATGGAAATTATTCATGGATGAAAACTCCCTTGGTGTCCTTGATCCGCACCTGTGGAACTAGTGAAGGATATGCCATATGCACATGAGCAATTAGAACAACAATCTCAATCCTCTGAATATGAAAAAAAAGCACACTTAGGCAAAACAAAATTTATTGTGTGCCCAGTAGCAAAACACCTGCACCAAGAACAGGGATTTGTGCCAATAGACTGAACAATGAAGGTCTCAATGTACATCGTTGTCAGTATAATCCTCATCTGCATTGATGTTTCATCCGGATTCTCACTCTGCCCCTGCGAAAAAAAGACATATCTTGTCTTTTCATGTCTAGTTATAAACACTAAACTAAAACCTGGGAAAATTGCAACCATAAAGCATAGAAGATTGAATCGAGAAGAAAAACCACCATGAATCTGAACAGCGTGGGGGAAAAAAGGCCTGATCACCGATCATGCAAACATGAAAAAACAAAAACGAAAAAAAGA